TCCTGGAAACTTCATCCACGGCTGAGACTCCTGGAGTCTACAAACAACATTGCTTTTGTTTTAACTTCATAAAGCTCCCAGTCAAGTGCTCTTCTAATTAAACTCTGACCTTTACCCTGGATGCCATCTGAACCTTTGTGTCTCCCCCAGATCCCTATGTCAAAATCATAAACCCTAAGCGATTAGGAGGTGGGGGCTTTGGGGAGGTGATTAGGTCATGAGAGGGAGCCCTGATAAATGGGATTAGCTGGTGCCCCTTATAAAAGAACCCAGAAAGCTCCTGTGCCCCTCATACTGGGGGAGGACACAGCAAGCAGATGCTATTTATGAGGAAGTGGGCCATTGCTTGATTCTGAAGCTTTGATCTTGGACTTCCATCCTCTGTAACTATGAGAAAAAATTTTCTGATGTCTATAAGACATTCAGTCTATGGTATTTTGTTATAGAAGTCTAAAAGGACCAATACACCTGCTATGGCTCAGATAAGTGTACCTCAAAGGCTTATAAAAGTTTGATCTCCAGCCTGTGGAGTATTGGGAGGTGGGGCCTTATTGGAGTCTTCCAGTCGTGAGTCCGTGTGTCCTTGAAGGACATAGTGAGAATCCAGATCTTTCCTGTCTCTCTTTTGTGTCCCAGCCATGAGGTAAAGGGTTTGCTATACCACCTGCTTCCTTCCATGATATACTGCCTTGCCACAGGTCCCAAAGCAATGGGCTCAATAAACCATAGGCTGAAACTTCTAAAACCACAAGCCAAAACAAACCTTTCCTCTTTTCAAGTATATTCTCTCAAGTATTTTGTCACAGTAACAGAAAGCTGACTAACACAACAACTATCATAGTTATTCCTGGTTTATACTGGGCTACTCCAAACTCAGATATTTCTCTACGAGCCTCACCAGCAATTTAATTCCTGGGGCCTGGACAGAAGTATGCAGGGCCCACAGTACAAACAACTATGCCAGCCCAGCAAGGCAGTATGAAAAATATTCACTGTGGTTAAGAACAATGAGAAAAAATGGGGGATTGAGTGTGTATGTACAGACCACAAGAAAACTTAAGTTTAATGAAAGTCAAGTAAATACACCAGGCACTGGTGACTCATGCCTGTAATCTTAGCTACTCAGGAGGCAGAGATCAGGAGGATCATGGTTCAAAGCCAGCCCTGGGCAAACAGTTCTCAAGACCCTATTTTGAAAAAACTATCACAAAAAAAGGACTGGTAGAGTAGCTCAAGGTGTGTGTAGGCCCTGAATTCAAACCCCAGTACCACAAATAAAATAAAATAAATAAATCAGGAAGTAACTGACATAAATATGATTAATAAGACTCAAATAAAACAGAAAGTAGTAGACATAAATTTGTGGAGTTTAACATAAACTGAACTGATTTAAATCTCTGGATATCAGCTGATGGCTTTCTCCAGTCATTACTTATAAGCACTGTTACAGGTTGAACTGTGTTCCCTTCCCCATGAAAATTCATCCATTCCAGTGCTAGCCCTCAGGACCTCAAATGGGACTGTATTTGAAGACAGGATCTCTAAAGAGGTGATTAAGGGGAAGTGAGGCTGTTAGGGTGGCCTTAATCCAATCTCACATGTCCTATGAGAAAGAGAAGATCAAGACACAGACCCACACAAAGAAAAGACCAAGTGAGGAGGCAGGGTAAGATGCCATCTACAAGCTAAGGAGAGGCTTCAGGGACACCAACTCTGCCAATGCCTTGACCTTGAGCTTCTGACCTCCAGGACTATGAGGGAATACATGTCTGCTGTGTGTGATACCATACATGGCAGACCTAGATAATGCAAACACGGTGGTCCAAACTGTAAACATGATGATGCTTGCCTTAAAACATCAGCCCTTCCAGATTGAGTTCCATCAGTCAAGATTCAGGTCACTTATAGGGTGTTATGGGACACAAACTTGTGTTTGAGACAGACCTGTTTTTCCCCAGATGCACAATACCCCGCTCATATCCTTGTCAATTGTTCTGTCTAGAGCCCAGCAGTTCAGGAAACAAAGACCACATTTTCAATATGATTTAAATCTTATCCTTTAGCCTTTAAAACCCATAGAACATAGGAAGTACCTCGGGTATCAAAACCCTGCCCAGCCCAGGGAATAAGGACCAACCCCATTACTCTCTCTGAGGCCAACTCAGTCCTAAACCTTAGGACTCAGGTTTAGTTTTACCCACCTCCTATCTTTACTCTCCTCCAGATGGCCTTGTCCTCGTCCCTGCTCTTCCTGCACCTCCTCCCTACATCACCTACATCACTTTCATTTGTCCAATTTCCTTCTACAGGCTGTGCCAAGTTGACCCTGGTCTGTCTGAGATAGTCAAAAATTCAGACCCAGCTCTCCTGGCTTCTGCTCCAGGGAGTCTGTGACAGCCTGGGTCACATCAGCTCTGTGACAGACACATGATAGCCTGTTTCTCCCCACATCACTGGTAAAGCAAGCTTTCTCTCAGCCCTAACATAAGCATTGCTTGGTAAGACCCACAGGCAGGATACTGTGTTTATCATACTCCTCCTTATCAGATGTCCAAATTTACATTTAGAAGACCAATGATCCCAAACATTTTTGGTTCCCATAGCCTCAGTTTCTTCATCTGTAAACGAGGTTTGGTGGTGTCCATGCCCTCCCCTCAGGGCTGCTCAAGGTCCATGGAGCTAGTTAAAGAGGGGGATCAGAAAGGCCCTGCTGTAAGAGGTCCTGAAACTGCTTTTGTAAAAAAGCACTGAGTCCTCACTTAGTCCCTGAATTCACTAAAAATAGGAGAAAAGCCTGTCATCTCTGTCTCCATTTTGTACCTGTTGTCCTTTGCTCTGAGCCATTCTCTCCTGCAGGCACCTTGGAATCAGGGAAGGACAGGAATGATCAATAACATCTTTATGACAAGGGACTGAAACTACCTGTAAGGAGCAGAGAGGGCAGATCACCCCTCTGAATGGGGACAATTGCCCATAATAATGAGGCTGCACCCTAGAGCAGGAGTAATTATGTCATGGGAACTAGACTGCCCCCCTCAAGTGATGACAGCAATGACAACTTTTCCAGAACCCTCAAAGAACAAGGGCTGACATAATGGTCAACCAGGCTCTATTCAACCACTGCAACACACCTGTGACTGCGACTGCATACTTTTGTCCCCTGCCCCCAGTTCTTTGTCTACTTAAACCTATATACATAGCTCATGTCTGTACCCCAAAGATGCCTGAAGATGAGCTGAGTGCTTACTCTGCCTCTTCCCATGGCATGTCCCGAACTGTGTAATAATCCTTCTTTCTCTGCCTTCACCATGCCTCTTTATTTAGTGTATAGGGGCATGTGACAGGACCTCGCATATGGAATCCCAGGAGTTGGGGCGTTGGGCCCAAAACTCCACTTTCAGAGCCAGCACCTATCATCACAGTGGAACAGTCATAGTGGAGATTGTCCTTTTATCCAGGAGGCGATGAATACCTACTGCCACAAGAGCCCCTCTACTGGTCGGCACTGCCCTGGGCCCCTCCATCCTTTTCCCAGAAGCTCGCCCTCTGTGCCTCTACAGTTGTGGCCCATTGTGCTGCACAACTCACTACCTCATTGCTAGTAAGGACGTCCCTACGCTGGGAGTGCACATTGCACTGGGTCAGTGACAGGGTTCCCCATACCCCAGCTCCTGAGCACTCTTCCTCTGGGCAGACCTAACATCCCAGCAGAACAAAGATGCATTTCCACCAACATTAGATTTTGAAAGATGACATTGTGACCCCTCTATCTGGGAGCTCTCCTCACTGCAATTCACTTTTGATAAAATGCAAGAACATAACCACAGAGCACAAAAGAACACCCACATTCATGAAAGCTGCAGGGTTTTTTGTTGTTGTTGTTGTTTTGTTTTGTTTTTAATGATGGAGCTGGAGTTTGAACTCATGGCTTCATACTTGCAAAGCAGGCTCTCTACCCCTTGAGCCACACCACCAGCCCAAGCTACAGTTTTTATGTACTCTAATTAGCATTTCAGACAAAACTAAATTGGAAATGCCTGTATGCTAATTGGTTTTAAATTTTTATCAAAAGTTGGGGGAGGAAAAGGCTGTGAGAAAAAAGAATCTGATTTGAAAAGAAGACTGGAAATGTGGTTTGCTTTCAGATAAGCTAGTAAAAAGACAAACTGATTATTTGGTAAACTGGTGAACTTGGTGTTACTTGGATTGTGTGAGAGCTTTAGTCGTTGCTTTTTTAAGGGTAAAAAAACCCATACATTTACTGAGTGATTTTGCAAAACAAGAATATGGGAAATTTTGCAATCTTGCATACTATACAAAATTCCTATGATGCCTCTTGAAAATGTTGCTATTTTGCACACTATGCAAAATTCATGCAATAATTCCCCCTGGTCCTATGATTGATTCATCAATTTATTACTCTAAAAAAAGTTTCCAGCATGCCTCTATCACCTCCAGTCATCATTATTTCTTAAAACATCATGTATGTCTATATTATCACTGACTTTAAATCTTACTCTAAATATAACCAAAGTGACTATTAAGAATGTCAAAAGAAATTCTTAGGATAGAGAGTAATTTTTATTGTTTCCTAGCAAGTGCTTTTAAGCATTTAGACTTAGATTGCTTAAGTTGACCATTACACTAAAACTGATGATGAATCAAACAATAAAAAAACACAGAAACATAGAAAAAAATTAAACAAGGGTATGTACTGAAATTTTCTTGGGTTTGTTTCCTCTTACTGCAGCTTGACAGCCTTTGTCTCCTCTTTACTCATGCCAATGTTACCACAATATATTCAGATAAAAGTTTACAGCCAGGTGAGATTTATTTAGCAAGAATTCCTTCAATGGTTTAAAAAAGGAGGCAAGCAGTGAGTTGAGCAACTAGGTGTGCACCCCGTGCCCCCTCCTCCCTCCTTCCTTCTCCCCACTCCCTCTGTGGCCTGTTTTCTCAGCTTCCCAGCCAGCTGTCTGTCTTTCAGGAAGCTGTCTTACCACATGGCGGAGCAGTCAAAATTCACCAAAAGCCATTTGTGGGGATTAAAGTTAAATGAATCTGCAAACTGCCAAGGAACAAGAACAATAAATAGGAAACAAGTTAGTTATAGATGTTTAGATATAAAACAAGACCCCATGCATAATAATTAAAAGTTTATATTCCCAATGAAAAACTTCAGATTTAAATAATCTAAAGGTCACATGAAATTTTGCAATATTGTATTTCTAAGCATTGGGATATTTGGAATACTTAATAAGTATTATGTCCAGAAACTGTAGGGATTGGGACCATGAAATATGTTTGTGCCACTGTTCCTTCAACCTCATAAAACTGGCAAAGTTCTCAGAATATCTGTATAATCATAAACAACAGGAAAGTCAAACTTCATTACTAAGACAGGGTAAAAGTTCATTTTCCATTTAATTCACAGGTTCTTTTGCCAACATGCCATAAGAATACAATTCCTCCCATGTACCTCAATACTGTTTCTTCATTTTTACAACAATATCCAAGTCCACTGTATTCCTAACAGTTATAGGCTTCTTGCCATCAAGGTCATGGGTACCAATTGCAAACAATGCACTCCAGTTCTGTGCACCATGTTCTCAAGAGAATATAAGAGATTTTAACTAACCAAGAGTGTCTGGGGAAGACACCTGCCTCTTCACTGCACTGTCTCAAATATGGCTTTCTTACATTTTCAGAATGCATGCCCTGGTTTACTGTCTGACATAGAAATGTGTCCATTTCCTGCTGGGAAAGGTAGCTATCTACATCCAGAAGACTGACACTAGCTCCCTATCTCTCACCCTGTGCAAAAACCAACTCTAAATGGATCAAAGACCTTAATGTAAGACTTGAAACATGGAAACTACTATAGAAAAAAAATAGGAAAAACTCTGGAAGATAGAGTCATCAGTAATTATGTCCTGAATAGGACTCCAATTGCTCAAGAAATAAGAGCAAGAATTGACAAATGGGACTGCATTGAATTAAAAAGTTTCTGCACATCAAAGGAAACAATTACCAGAACAAGAGACAACCCACAGAATGGAAGAAAATTTTTGCTGGCTATTCCACAGATAAGGGATTAATATCCAGAATCTACAAGAACTCAAAAAAGCAAACAGCAAAAGAACAAATAATCCAGTTAATAAGTGGGAAAATTAATTGAAAAGACAGCTCTCAGAAGAAGAAATATGGTTAATAAATACTTAAATACATGAAGTCATGTTTAACATCCTTAACCTTAAAGGAAATGAAAGACTACACTGAGATTCCATCTCACCCCAGTTAGAATGGCTGTCATTAAAAAACAAACAACAAATGCTTACAAGGATGCAGGGAAAAAGGAACTCTCATACACTTTTGGTGGAAATGTAAATTAGTACCAACACTATGGAAATCAGTATGGAGGCTCCTCAAAAAACTAAAAGTAGACCTCTTTATGACCCTTCCACACCACTCTTAGGCATATATTCCAAAGAGTGTAAATCAGTATACAAGAGAGATACCAGCACATCCATGTTCACTGTAACTCTCTTCACAATAGCCAGAATGTGGCAACAGCCAATGTGCCCAACAACTGTGAATGGATAAGGAAAATATTATATATGTGTATGTGTGTATGCATACACCTGCCAAAAAGAATGTATGCAACTCAGCCATAAAGAAAAATGAAATTATGGTATTTGCAGGAAAATGGATGGAACTGGAGCTCATCATGCTAAGAGAGATAAGCCAAGCTCAAGAGGCTGAATATTTCATATTTTTCTCACTTATTTGTAGAACCTAGACCTAAAATGATGGCCACAATAGTAATAATAATAACGGGACATGAATATCTTGGTGAGGGGGATCAGAAGGTGAAAGGAAAGGATCCTGAGGGGTGAAGAAGATGGAAGTATGCTACAGATATACCTATAAAGACAGCTTAATGAAACCCAACAAATACTGTTTGAAAAGAAAGAAGGCAAGAGAGGCAAATAGAAATATAGTGAAGGGGGTGAACTTGTTCAAGGTATACTGTATGCACATATGGAATCATCACAATTACCCCCCCTGTATTATTAATGGATACCAATTCAAAAATAAAATAAAAATAGTTTTTAAAAAAAGAAATGAGTCCATTTGAAAGGATGGGGAGGGGAGAGTAATGACCCAATCATTGTATGCACTTATGCATAAAGGAAATTAAAAAAAAAGAAAGGATGGGGATGTGGCCACTTGGCTCAACTCATATTGAAGTAGAACTAAAGGCAGAAACCATGGAAACAACACAGATAGATGCCCTACAACTGATAAACTGATACACCAAGAAACTATGGTGTATATAATGGAGTTTTATTCAGTCATAAGAAAGAATGAAACCACATGGTTTGAAGGTAAATGGATGAAAATGGAGAACATTATGTTAAGTGAAGCAAGCCAGGTTGAGAAAGACAAAAGCCACATGTTTTCTCTCATGAGGAAGATAGATCCCAAAGATAAATATATACACAAAACCAAACATGATCATATACGTATATACATGTAGAACATGTTTGCAATAGTGGAACTACTCTAAGGAACTCAGGGGAGGAGGGAAAGGAAAAGAGAATGATAGTCAGCAATATCAAAAGACATTCCATCTGTTCAGTTAAAGACATATTGTACATAACAATACGTACCGAAAGCCACTGAATAATGGGGGGAGGGAAGGGGTAAGGGAGAATAACGGGTGTGTGTGTGACCCATGTAAGGCATATTCACAGCTAGGATACATGCAGAAACCTCTTTGAACACTGACTTTGGAATTAAAAATGAAGGACAGGTCTGTAAAATAGGTACAGTGTGTTGGGGATGCTTGTGGGAGGTGAATGGAAGAGATGAAGGTTAGGGAATATGGTTGATGGGCTTTATATACTTATATATGAAATAGAATGATGAAACCTCTTTCAATTGCTTGAAGTGGGGCAGGAGGGGGTCAAGGGGGCATGAGACGGTGGGGGTGACCTAACCAATGTACAATGTAAGGGTATTCAGATTTGTCACAACAAATCCCTCCCTACCCCATAGAAAAGGGTATATGCCAATAAAAATGGGAGAGAGGCAAAAAAAAAGGAAAGAAAAGCAGGAGCCATTACAAGTCCCAGGCTGGCTCAATCTCCTAAAGGGAAAAAAATTTCAATCTTTCCAAGGCTTTGTGGCCAGTTTTTTGGCTCCATCACTCCAGAGACAGCAAAGGCTTAAGGGGGCCAGGTTGGCGTCAGTGGGGTGACATTTGGTCAGTGGATGGCAACCTTCCCCATCGACCCACTCTGGAGATACACATTCATTTCCTCCCAGGTTTCAAAAAAAAGTAATTTTGAGAAGGAGACAGGAAATTACAGCAAGTTTCATTTGTTGATAAAAGGACACAAAAGGTTAAAGAGGAGCTTTGTTTGCTAGAATGTTATTAGCTCCCTCCGCTGGGGCTGGTCTGTTTAAACTCCTTTCATTACCCAACAGTGATATTTTCCTCCTGCTGACAGAGAGGAAGGCTCTTATCTGCAGGAGGAAGGCCATAACAGGATATTGCTGCCTCTCCCTTATCTGAGCCATGGAGCAGCAAAGCCCTCAGCCAGGCAAGGAGACAGCCCCAAACAATAATGGAGGAAAAATTGAAATGACTCCTTGTCAGGCATGAAACACTGTCTGCTATTGATAAGATCTGCCTGGGAGTGCACATCGCCAGTGGTGGTCTGACTGTCAGGCACCCTTCTATGAAAGGCAAAACCTCAAGTTGTCAGTTCATGGGGAAAAGATCTTGAAACCCTAAACCTGATGCCTGGAGTTAGACAGGAACCTCTAGCCCAGGCCCTACTCTAGGAGAAGCACAAAAACCCCAGATGAATATACATAGCCTTCTTCCCTCCAAATTGTCTGGGGAATAGACAATTTAAATGGTACAGATTAAGTAGTATCCCTTACCCAAAATGCTTGTGACCACAGTGTTTCAGATTTTGGATTTCTTTGGATTTGGGAATATTTGCATATACAGAATGAAATACACTGGTCACAAGATTCAAGTTAAACATGAAATTTAAATATTTTTCAATATGTACTTGATTCATATAGTATCAAGGTAATTTGGTATAATATTTCAAAATTTTTTGTGTGTGGAACAAATTTTCATGCTGTAGACTTTTCCACTTGTGGCTTCAAGAGTTTCAGATTTTGGAAGTTTGGATTAGAGTCGCTTAACCTCTATATAGACTTATTCTTTATTTTCTAGCACCAAACACAAAACTAGCTATGAGCCACAAATTATAGAGGGCTGGTTATCAGCATCCTGTTATCAGAACTTCTCACATGCTAACTCCTCTAAGGTACTTACATAGGTCTTTGCAGGAAGCCTCTAAGCCCTAGCATGTATGAGGTGTTTGATAAGTAATTACTGAATGAATGAGTAAATGGATGGAGACGTGAACCAGACTGCTACTTTATAGACTGGTAATGAGGGGATTATTCTCTGAAGTGAACGGACTATTTGTATTCTATACCTCTGACATTTACTTGTCTGGTATTATTACAACATTTGAGAATTCAAATTAGCAATCAGATAATCGATTGGCAAGGCTGACATTCAAGCAAAGAGAGGTTTTGAGGGAACATTTCTCTAAGCCATGGTGAAAAATAATGAAAGCATTTAATGCATGCTCAGTATTTCCTGTGTGCTGGTCTGTTCTTAAGCCTTTTAAATGTGATTACCCCTTATGAAAACCCCAGAAAGGGACATCATGATGAAACCCATTTTATGAAGTGTACAGAGGACATCCAACCTGTCCAAGGGAGCACAGCTAGTCCTAAATGATTCAAGCCCACAGTCTATGCCAAAGCCTGCAGCACTTACAGGGTGAGGGTTCACACAGCCCCTGACCCTAAGCAGACAGTACTTCTTTCTTTGCCAGTGTCACGTCTCCCTTAATTTAGTATCGCCTTCCCTGGACATCCTACATCAGGTGGCTTTTAGGACCCTCTGTTGCATTAATATGTGAGTTCTGGAAATAGGGACTTTGTGCTTTCCAAGCTGCAACCAACAATGACATCCTGCCAGAGTCTGAAATAACCCATCATAACACAACCATAGGTCATGTCTTCATAATGTCTACCATTTTACATTCTGCAGCTATGTGGAGAAGCAGTGTCCTGATTAATAACTTTCACTGCAAGACACCTGCACTACCATGTCTATTGCAGCATTACTCACAGTAGCCAAGCTATGGAAATAGCCAGGATGCCCCACTACTGGTGAGTGGATTAAGAAAATGTGGTATTTATATACAATGGAATTTTATTTAGCCACAAAGAAGAATCAAATTTGTCATTCACAGGTAAATGGATGGAACATCATCTTAAGTGAAGTTAGCCAAGTCCAAAAAGGAATGTTTTCTCTCATATGTGGAATATAGACCTAATACAAATACAGCAATATTATGAAAATCAGGTCATGCTAAGGGGAGGTCACTAATGGGAGAGGGAGGGTAAAAGAAGGAAGTAAAGAAAGTGAATATGATGACATACTTTCTATACAAGAATGAATGAGTTTTTAAACCTGTTGAAATCACCATAAGAAGGGAACTAAGTAGAAAGGAGAAAAATAGAGGGGATGAACCAATTCAAGTTATAATGCATACATACATAGAAATGTCAAAAGGATATTCCCTGCTTAGCTATCTTAAACAAAAATGTCTTTTTTCAAAAACAGAGAACAAGAAGGTAAAACAGGTCCTGCCTGGGGCTTGACACCAGTGTGTGTCAGGGGAGGATATAAGGAAAAGGTGTAAGAAGGTGAATGTAGTAGAAATATTATGTATTCATGTATGAAATGGAAATATGAGACCTGTTGAAACTTTTCCAGGAATAGCAAGAGGGGAAAAAGGACAGAGGTGGAGGCAGCGAATTCAACTATGATATATTGTAAGAACTTTTGTAAATACCACAGTGGGCCCCCAGTACAGCAATAATATTATAATAAGAAATGTAAAAAATAAAAAAATTTAATTGCTGTTTCTCAAAAGAAGCAGGTGTTTATTTGGCATTATAGGCCACATGTTAACAATTTCCAGAAGAGTACACAGGGCATTTAAGTGCATTGGTAGTTGCTCATTCAATATTGGCTAAAGTAACCATCATGGTCAGATATATGAGCAGAACATAAATTCCATATTGAGCCACAATGTAGGGAACTGCAAGCTGATATTTTAAATTACCCTAGGAGTAAAAGGTGTTAAAATTTAATTTTGTTCCTAAATATTCCTGCGTAGTTTTATAAGCTAAAATTCATCCTGTCATGCATAGCTCTGCCCAGATTTTTGTACAGAATGCAAAATGGTTGCAGTATCAAAAGATTTTCAAGAAAACAGGCCATGTGATGAGGGAGGGTTCTCAGCCCCCATCTTGTTCTCAGCTCCTGTAATTTCCAGTAATCGCTGGAATTGTCTATGGGGAAAAATTGGCTGAAATAAACTCTAACTGTGGGGAATAGAGTGTCAGATTCTTATAAAGGGAGAAGTAATTGATAATATAATGCTTTTTAGAAATGACTTTAGGCTGGGCCTGCAGCTCAGTGGTACAGTGCTCACTTAGCAGACAGGAAGCACTGGGCTGGATCCCCAACACCACACCCAAACCCACACCCACACAAAGACCTGATTACACAGCAAAAAGCACACCCACCTCCACTCCATTCAGAAGATGCCGGAACTCTGGGCAGATAAAGGCACTTCCTGCATACGCAGCATCAATGTGCAGCCACAGGTCCTCTTTGTTGCCTAAAGCCAGAAGCAACTGGTGAGTTCTCACTTGCACACCCTCCACCTGTGATGAGGTGGACAGCCACCCTCATCTTGATGGCATCCTTCTAGTATTAGCATATCAGTAGTATTTGTGGAACTAATGGCTGGCTCTCCCCAGGGTTCCTCTCAGTGGAGGCCACAAAGCCGAGGGCAGACCTGTGTGTGCTATTGGGGTGGGCATACACCAGCTTCTCAGAAAGTGGGGGAAACACTCCCAACTGCCCAAGCCTCACCATTAAACATAGTGCTGAGTGACCAGCACATCCCAACTCTTCCATGCTTAGTCTCTGCCTTCTGGAATGTCCACCCCGATTCTCCTTGCTAACCCCTTCTCAAGTCCTCCCCACAAAGTCCTTTGAGGAACATAATCCACACTGCTATATCTCTGCCCCACTCCATCCCCACCATGAGGTCAAGTCATTTATTTTACACTATCTTATATCATCCTTAGATCCCTTCCTGCATAATATTTCTTGTTTAGGCAAAGTGGGGTAGACAGCCTATAGTACAAGAATGCCCCCTCAACGTGGACATATCTGAGTTCAACTCCTGCTCCAACCATCCTCTATTTGTATGACTTCTTCCACCTCCTCTTCCTCACAGGCAAAATGGAGATGGACATGGTATCCAGAAACTTTAGTTAGGTAATTTTCATAGCATGGTGTTCACAGCACTTACAGGACAGTGAGAAATAAATGCGATTTCCCTCCCTCAGTCCTGGGCACCTAGTATGGTCATGAGGCAAGAACTGAACGGAAAAGGGCTACAGATGAAGATGCTGGAGCTAAGTGTCAGTCAGCACATGCATGTTACAGATTGATGGACCCTTTGTGCTTCCATAACACTGTCCATTTGTCCATTCTAGAAGGAGAGATGACCCACTCTGAGCTCTGCTGATAAAAGATATAAAAGATGCTGTTTGATCTTCAGATTAAAGCCCTCAGTGGGCTCAAAATCAAATGTGCTACTGTGGATATCACTACACCAGGACACTGTAGACAAAGGACCATGGTGCACAGTAAGGCCTGAGTCACCTGAAGCAAGATTTATGGGTGAAGGTGTCTGGGTTCATCACCTTTCCTACCTGATGCTCACACCATTCCAAATGGATAAGCCACTAGACAAGGTCTTAGGATAATATGGGGTGTCTCCCCTGAGAAGTCACTGAATAATGATGGGATTGAGCAGGCTAGACTAAGGGAAAGTTCAAGACTCTTAGAACAAATACGACTTAATATTGTATTTTCAGATTGAACGTTCTTCCCTTTCTCTGAGCCTTTTTTTTTATTGCAAATGTGTGTAGGTTATTCACACCCTAGCATGGGAACAACTCAAACCACCCCTACCTCAGTCCAGGAACCACCCATGTCCCTCCCTCTCATCAATTAGTGGTTGGGAATCACAAGGTTCTTCCCTTCCCATAGGTTAGCATGAATTTTGAAAGTGTCTGGACAGAGAAAGACTCTTTCTCTGCTTCCAGCTTCCAACTGGCCCACAATGGCCTTTTGTAACTTTCTTCTCTGACCTTTAATAAATGCCCTTACTACTCCCACATGTCCTGCCTAGATGCTTCCACGTGGGACACAAAGAATGTGGAAATCTTCTCATCAGAGACTCACCTGCTGACAGCAGCTGACTAGTACTGCCATATTGCCATGGCTCAGGTATGCTGTGGGGGTGATTAAAAGTTCACACTCCTTAATAAGATAAGATGAGCTTTGATCTGAATGTCTATGCTCCTCCAAATCCACATGATGAAATCCTAACCCCCAAGGTGATGGTATTAGGAGGTGGGGCCTTTGGCAGGTGATCAGATCAGCAGGGTGGAATTCGATTAGCACCCTTAGAGAAGAGACCCCGGAGAGACCGCTCATGCCTTCTACCATGTGAGGATACACAGAAGAAACCATTTGTGAACCAGGAAATAGATCCTCACCAGGCATCAAATCTATCAGTGCCTTGATCTTGAACTTTCAGCCCCCAGAAATGTGGATAAAACTTCCGTGTTGTTGGCAAGCCATCCTGGTCTATGGTATTTGTTAAAGCAGTCCAAAGGAACTAAAAGAAGGTGATTTTGTGCTTTCCATGGGGGCCATGTGGGTCACACACAGACCTTTAGTGATGGACTTTCCTTTTCTGTGTGACGCCCTTTCATGGAATTTGATAGATGTCACTGTTTGTATTTAGTGTGGGTCTGTTGAACGAAGACAGGAGGCAGAGCAACACCCCAAGCCTGAATGAGAAAATGAGTCAGGAAACACAGCATGAGTCATGGTTTGGGAGGAAGTGGGGATGTGGAAGGGGCAGGTGCCCTTCTCTGTCTCCCTCTCCCTTAACTACCACCCTTGAGAGGAAGCAATGCTGAAGAGTCGGTGTGCCAGTATATATAAAGTCACACAGTACCACAGCCCTCAGTGTCAGGGAGCCCCAAGCCCCAACGTGAGACCAAGAATGATGCTAACATTCAAGATCACTCCAGAATGAATCAGTCACCTGGGGAAGTACCAGTGGGTAGCTAAAGACCAAGTGGTTTTGTGGGAGAAGGGATGTGGTCACCAGATAGAAGGTCTGTTGTGAAGAATCAAGTTTACTCTCAAAAAGTCTATGCTTTGCCTGGTTCTTGGGACCTCTGGATAGCTGGAACATCTTGCTTGATCCAAGTACCTTTTTTGCTTAGGGCTGTGACCCCAGTCAGTGTAACACTGTGATGGATGATGGAGGCCTTGAACCATGCTGATTCAGTTTTTGACCAAAGAAAAGTGATTACTAAAGATACTAGCTGGGCTTCTGGGAGGATCTGGAGATTGATGGTAAGCCATGTAGGCCAAGTGTGATCAAGCCCCTCTCCCTCCCCGCAAAAATGGACACCAAAGGGTCAGGATTGCTGGCCTGGTAGGGAAGTGAACCTACCTAGGCCACACATCTTGACTGGGCAGTTCATAACCTCATGACTATGCAGATGAAGAATGCCAGAAGTTGTATCCTCCAGACTCTGCCTTATGTATCTCTAAGCCTTGTCATCAACCAGAACTGTGAGTACAGCTCTCAGTGAATCCTGTAGCAGGTGAGCAAACATGAAGGAATTTGAGGGCTCTCTGAACTGTCATAAATGTCAGAACAAAGATAGTCAGAAGCAAGAGTGTCTTGTGGAGACTATACTCTCCAAGTTTGTGTTGCCTAAAACTCCAACAGAAGGGAACTTGCAAATGCCCCTTGGAAGTGGCCTTTGTATGGGTTCTCTTGGTACCATGGGGGAGGTAAGGCATCCTTGGCACCACCTCTGTGCTCTGAGTCTTATATGTGACCAGCAGATAACATGCCCATCCTTCTACTCCTTACATTCATCTAGAAGCTCTGTGGACACAGACCCTGTGGCCAGAGTTGTGAGCTCCATGTGCCAGATACACACCTAGTACTGGCCAAGAGGACAGAGGCAGCCTCTGCAGCGCTCGACCTCCTATAGCCCACACCTGTTTCCTTACAAGGCTTCTTCAGAAGGCAGCAGCCAGGCCCAGCTGCCCCTTTGGCTGCAGGCCCTCCTTCCTGGTGCTCCCAATCTTCCTGGTCATCAACCTGCCCAGTCTTGCTTCTGTCACCCCACTCCCTGAGGCCGCCTCCCCTGTCAGTCACACCCCAATCCTAGTTTTCCCACTTGCCCACCTGGCTCCTAACTGCCATCAACTATCTGCTGGTTGTGCCTCATCCTCTTTTCACTAAAACTTTCCCTGGTAACTCACCAGCCCAAGCAAACTGGTCAACTGCCTCTCTGGGGAAAGGTTTTCAAAGGGACTGACAAGATTACAATTCCCAAAGCAGTAATTTTAAGATAATCCCATTTTGACGTGTTTTTTGGTCAACTGATGATAGGTACATTACTACAGTAGATTATTTTTATCATACTGTAGGGAATGCCAGCTCAGGAGATCAGCACAGGCTACTGGGGGTTGAAGAATGACAAACATTTGACAAGAGTCAAATAAAAGGTTTTGGATGATGGGGAATGGGTTCAACGGGCACTGACTTCATTGTAAGGGACTCCCAACAGTTAGTGATACCATTCTCAAGTACAGACGGTGACCACCAATGAAAGGGTTTTGACATTTTCCTGACAGCTCCACTCAACAAAGTCCCTGGAGCCATCTCTGGCTTGAATCCAAACACAGCACAGTGGTCAAGCTCTGCTCACAGCCCCCAGACCCACCAAGCAGAAGAGCTAGGGACAGCAGGGTGACCTGAGCTGCAGTCATCTGGATGCTGTGAACAGCAGGGGCCACTCTGCTGGCTGTTATCTCCCTGCTCCCATGGGCAGCTGGCACTGGACTCAGGGCTCTGTCTAGCAGAAGACCTCAGCCCTTTAAATGTGATAGCCCTGGAGAATTACATCAGCTAGCTGCTGGCCAGGACATTCAGTCCTTAGCTTGACATCTGAGTCAGATGACTTTGAGTTGCTTGACTGAACTGGCAAAGGTTTGCAGCTAACGAGGCCAATAGCACAGCCACAGTCCTGGGTTGGCCAGCTAGTTCTGTCTCTTGTCCTCAGCCCACTGTGCATGGCCACCCTCAGCCAGCTGTCTGCCACATAAAAGGTGAAGGAAAATCCTAGAGAATGGCAAGTCTGCACCCACCCCTCTTGTCACAGCTGGTGACAAACATTCCTTTCAACATGAGCAGCCTACCTTTCCTATTGCACTTGCCCCTGAATTAACTCACCCCTGAACCATCCTCTGAGGGAACTATTTTGCCATTATGAGTGATGATTTTCTCTCCACATTTTTATATAGGGAAAATGAAGCTTAGAATTTAAGATAAACATCTATAAGGGGCAGGCCTATGCTGGATCCCACCTTCTCAGTCACCAAGGCTAGCCCCTGCCATCATACCAGAAGGCCTGAAGCACCTGCCTTCCCTAGCTGCTAGCCAGGGGACAATGGCACCAGAAGGAGAGTCCACTCCTGAGGACAGATCACAGATCAGGAAAGGTAAGAACCGTGTTTGGCTCATATAGACTAAGAATGGAGCCAAATGCCAGGCAGGTGGCATGATGTCCGGCACAAGCCACAAGGTGTGTGGTCACTTTGGGAAGCTCTACCTGGAGTGTTCACCTCCCAGAGGAACAGAGAAATAGCAGTTTAATGGGCCAGGGTGTCCTTGGTACCTGAGGCACATTCTCCTGTCCCTAGAAGTAGCTCCAAGGGTCATTCCTAACCTTTTTCTGAGATGACCTCCTTTTCACTTCTGATAATGCCTTTTCTGTTCTAATAAACAATACTTTTTCCTATGTTTTGTGTCTTGCCTGAAATCTTCTCCCTTAAGGAGCTACTGAGCGGCTCCATTAGGCTGTGTGGTGGCACAGGCTACATAGGTCTACCAATGGGCTGAAGCCATTTTAAATTACATTTGTGTTCAAGTCCTGCAGCCTTTGTGCTTCAGGGGATATTATTCCTTATTGCACTGGTGTTCCTACCTCAGTCCCAGCCCAGGTTCCTGTGGAGTTGTTCCTGTTGCCTTCAAGAGTCCCATGGTGACCTCCCCTCTACTTCCTCTACTCCCAAGAAAGAAACAGTTCCAAGGCCTGCTGAGTTCCCAGAAGCTCCCCTTAAAGGTGATAATTGAGAAACACAGCCACTATTCACACCATATCTTTTGAAAACACAGAATGATAGTTTCACTGAGGAAACCAAGTGACTGAGGGAGGGAGCAGGTGAGTGTGAGCCAGGAAATCATCCAAAGATGACCTGGAGGAATCAAGTTTTACCAAGTTGATTTCCTGAATTGCTTTAAGCAATTCACTTAATTACATTCAGTACAGCCACGTGTTGCTTAATGACAGAGTAGGCCCTGAGAAATGCACCATTCAGTGATTTTTGTCTTGCAAACATCATAGAATGTACTTCAAAAACCTACATGGTGCTGCCTACTGCACACCTAGGCTCTGGCATACACCATCCGGTATGTGGTCCATCCTTGATGGAGATCTATGCCGTGCATAGCTATAATTCCTAAAAAAGGCTTTAAAAGGTTGTGACAAAAGACTTAATTCAACTCCCCGTGTAGCTTTATCTCAAACTAGCAAAACGTCATATTTCTTGTTTTATCTTTATCTTTTATGTTTCTTCTACAAAATCAGAGAACCTTCTACAAAATCAGAGAACAGAATGTTCTGCCTGGGGCGGGGAGGGGGTGCAGTTAGCACCAGTGTTGGGGGGAGGTGGCAGGGAAGGAGGTAAGAGGATGAAGATGGTACAAACACTGCATACACATGTATGTAAATGCAAAAATGAGACCTGTTGAAACTGTTCCAGAATCAGTGGAGGGGAATGGGGGAGAGAAGTGGAGAGGGTGAATTCAAGTATAATGTATTTGATACATTGTAAGAACCTTTGTAAATGCTAAAATGTACCCCCACCCAGCACAACAATTAAAAAAAAAAGAATGAGTAATATAGATGGGTGAATTTGATCAAACTACATTATATGCATGAATATAAATAACACAATGCAACTCTTTTGTACAATTAATTTATGATAATAACATTTTTTAAAAAGCAAACAAACAAACAAAAAGACAACTCAAGATGGACAATTCTCATGCCATGTCTGTGTCGTACACACACAGGACCTTCACACTGGGGTAGCTGCTCTGAAGAATTTATTGTACTCATCAGTGCTCACATAGCAATTTTATGTCACTGTGATAGTGCTTGAAACATTTCTTGTCTTGCAAACAATGCATTGGTATAGTTAAGCTTGGCTCCTGTCGAATTAGCCCAAATAGGAAAGTTTGCTCAATTCCCCCAAATGCTAGTTTTTCCAAATAAAAATTGATTCAGGTACTTACAGATAGGACCCACTTCTAAGAGATTGTCAAAAGAGCAGCAAGATGTGGTCCCTAGCGTAACAACCACCTGGAGAATAAAAAACAGAGAATCTTTTTATGCCCTGTGTGTTAATCATTGTTGTAACCTATACATGTGCATACATACACACAGCCACTGCCACAGGCTAGCCCAGAGTCTTCAATGAAGTGCTCAATGAATGTCTACATGGAGGCGGGATCCATGAACATATTCAGTCTTTGGGGGAAAGCATCATAACAGGTAAGAGAAACACATTCATAGGCAGAAACCTGAGCTGTTAGGTTATTAATGCATGGTGGTTTGGGGCAGAAAAGAAGCTTTTAACCATATGAATAGCTGTATTCGACTGTATGCAATGTATCTGAGAAAGACAGGAATTAGGGAAAGATCGGGGCTCTTAAATCAGTTTAACTCAATTTAGAGCATCTCGGATTACAAGCCCTCTCTTACTCATGTCCTCTGAAAGGGCTCCTTTTCAATTGCAAATCCTAGAATTTGCACAGCTATAAAAAGGGAGCAGTGGAAATTTCCTCCTGCATGGATTTAGGGTACCTAAAAATTAGCATAAGTTTATGCATAAATCTTCCCAGATTCCCCCCCTTTTCCCCCACCAGCTCTTAAGCCATTGCAGACCTGGAATGGCATAGGATTATCCCCCACCTCCAATTTAAGGATGGTATAAAAAAAACTCCTTAAAACAAAAGTCACTCTCTTTTCCTACTACTTGTGGCTCCTCTACTCCACCTGGCAGAGAACACACCTGTAATCCCCTGCCCCTTCACCGGTAATAAACTTCCTTATTTCCCTTACTACGGCCACATGTTCTGCTTGGATTCATCCATCCCAGAACACAAGAGCCAGTTATCTTCTGATCAGAATTCTCCACAACAACATATCAAAAGAGTATAAGAATATACTTTATACTATGAAGTCGGGAGCCTGGGCACTTTTTCCTAGCATGATGCGTGTGTGGTGTGTAGAAAACAGAGCAAGCACATCAAAGGTGATGTACACCGCAGCAAGGCTGGAATTGCCTAAGGCAGCAATGACATAATTCTTCCAGATCAGCTTTTTGGGGTCATTTAAGAGCCATACCAGGACATTGTTCTAGAGTATCCATCAGTGGTTTTAATTTGTTGCCCTTCTCATCTTAAATAATACTACTCCCAAAGATTACTTTCAACCTTTAAAATGTTTGTGAGAAAATCCTACTGATGTAGATAGCAGTTCAAAAAGGAGGGTTCTAAGAAAGCATTAAGTCCTGTGTGTCACACAACTGGGAAATATGCCTCAGAACCCACTGTGCCCTCCTGTCCCTTGAGCACTTGCAATGGTGTGTGAAAATGCTGGCATAACTCATGTCCACACATGACTGTCTCTCCCTCCACACCCACTATGCTCCTGAAACCATGTTCTTTTTCTTTCCTTCCTTCCCTTCTTTTTCTTTTCTTCCTTCCTTCCTTCCGTCCTTCCTTCCTTCCTTCTTCCTTTCCTCTCTCCCTCCCTCCTTTCCTCTTTCTTTCTTTCTTTTTTGGTGACACTGGGGTTTGAAAGCAGGGTTTCATGCTTACAAAGCAGGCACTTTGTGTCTTGAGCCACACATTCAGTCCATTTCACTTTGGTTATTTTGGAGATGGCATCTCAAGGACTATTTGCCCAGGCTGGCCTCCCAAACTGCAACCCTCCTGATTGACCTCAGTCTCCCAAGTAGCTAGGATTACAGATGTGAGCCACCAGTGCCCAGCTGTGATATCTCTATGTATTGCTGGAAATTCACACTTTGCTGGACCTGGAATAGAGGCTAAAACATTTTTTGCTGAGTTGAAACTCTCTCTAAATGATGAAAAAAACATATACTGTTCACAAAAGCAGAGTCTAATTGATTTACAGACATCACGTGCTCTCAGGTAACAGAGTGTGCAATTCAATCTAAATCATGAATCCTTTATTAAGACCCTAGTGCAGTTTCAGCAACACTGTGGGCCCTGAGGATAAAGTTGGGTAGGTCACAAATTCACACATAGGAACCCCAGGGGAGGCCTTTCTTTCTGATTCATTTTCACAGATGACTGCCTGCATTTGACCTGAAAGTCAACTCACCTCTCATGAAGGTCAAAGTGCTTTTGTCAAGGTAGCCTGGTGTCCGCTGTGGGTGGCACACCTGGCACACCTGCTCCTACTTTGGCCTCTGCTGAAGAAGGTTCATAGCAATGTTGCTTAGAGATGGAGGCTTATGCCAGGGAGCAGAATTTTCCTGGACCTAGTCATAGGCCCCAAAATACATGCTGGTGGGGTTCCTGTATCACTGAGCTGTACCCAGAAAGAGCCAGCCACCCCAAGGGGCTATTTTCAGGCCCACAAGAGGCAGACTGGTTTTTGTTTGTTTTGCGGTACTGGGGTTTGAACTCAGGGTCTACACCTTGTACCACTCCACCAGCCCTTTTTTGTGATGAACTTTTTTTTTTTGAGATAAGGGCTCACGAACTAGTTCCCCAAGCTGGCTTTGAACAGTGATCCTCCTGATCTCTGCCTCCTGAGTAGCTAGGATTACAGGTGTGAACCATCAGTGCCTGGCTAGAGGCAGATTGTTTCAAAATGTGAGTTTAACTATATTCAGGTGTGGAGAGCCCAATGGATCAGGAAGCAAGAGACACTTAAGATAGTTTGTCATATGCAGTTCCCAAGGGACGCACCATGCCATGACATGTGGTACAGGGCAGGCCAGAGGGGAGAGGGAAAAATGTGAATAAGAGCCTTTGTTGTAGTTCTCATGGGACACTCCAAGTGAGGCAAGCTAAGCAGACTTAGGGTTGGTGGATTTGAATAATTTTGGTGGGCTCTTGGGGCACATCTGCTGCCCTAGTTGTTTGGTAGCCAGCCCTGAGGAGACTTGGGCAGGTGGACAGAGGCCTAGAGTGTGAAGCCTCTGCACTGCTTACTGTGCATATGAAAGGCATATTTGCAACTGCATCCTTGACTTAGGCACTGGCCAACTCTGCAGAGGCAGGTCTTCCAGGGTCAGCAAGGCCCAGGGATTGTGAAGCATCATAGGCAATCAAAGGCAGGATTCACACAGATGATCAAGTAATGCATTCAGGGTTAAAAAAAAAAAAAAAGATACTGTGAGAGGATCAGCTGTGTCCCACGGGCATACTTTGTTGGGTTCCAGATTTCTCACATCACAAACACAGTGGACACAGAACTGCCTGGTGTAGAAGGTAACTTTGCCCTTTCCTAGAGCCCTCAAACCCCTTCCCTAAACCTCCACCCAGCCTCTTTACTCCAAGATTCTAGCATTCTCCACACTTACTTCATCTTGACCAGATGAAACCTTTTATGGGAAATTAAGTTAGCTAGTGATTTTTCTCTAGTATTTGCAATTTCATCCTGATATTTAACTGAACACTAAAGTGCCTTGTTTACGTTACCTGGCTAGTTCAGTTGGTAGACATTAGAGTCTTAGAATACTTTGTCTATATCAGTAAAAGAATAGTGAAGATTATGTAGTTTAAGCTGGGTGTTGGTTGCTCATGCCTATAATCCTAGCTACTTGGGAGCTGAGATCAAAAGGGTCACAGTTCAAGGCCAGCCCAGGCAAATAGTTCATGGGACCCCCATCTCCAAAATAAAGAGAGCAAAATGGACTGGAAGTGTGGCTGAAGCAGCAGAATACCTGCTTTGTAAGTGTGAAGTCCTGAGTTCAAACCCCAGTTATAAAAAAAAAAAAAAGGTTATGTAGTTTAAAAACAAAGAGTAGCTAAAATCATTAATATTCCTTGTTATTTTATTTTCTCAATTTTACCAGTCTCATAGAAATTACATCTGTAGTGTAGAAATTCTTTCAGTTTCATTTTATTTTCTCAGTTAGATGCTAATTGAACTAAAGGCAGTAAGTTGTTATTAAAATTACATACATATTAAATATCCCCTTGTTCAAATCTTTTTTCTATTACTGTGTGCACAGAACATTACCTAGAAGGATATCCACAAAATATTATTACTGCTTCTTTCTTGAGATACATTTTGGTTAACATAAACCTTTATTCTTAGATTGTTAGGTAGTTATTATTTGTGATGAGCATGAAACATTGTTGTAGAAACAATAAAATCCTGTTTGTCCTGGGGATAGCATCATTTGAGAATAAGAACGGGTGACATTTTTTGCTTGATGCTACGAGCTTTTCCTAAGATGTGTTAAGCCATCATAGTGACTATTTGAGTTAGATACACTCATGATCCTTACTTTCCAGTTGACTTAAATAAGACTGTACCTGCTTACAGAGCATACATAGGAAGGAGCAATACAACAGTGACACTGGGTTTAATTACCTCTTGCCGTCCTGGCACACCTTAAGAGGACAGGAGTCCTGGGCCACAGTACCTAAACCACTAATTAAAGAATGCAGTGCCCACAGCCATGCCAGAGCACCTGTGACAAGACCCAGCGCTTTGCAGCATGAGTTAAAGCAGGGTCAGGCAGTGGGATCCAGACTGGCCAAGTGGCAGGGAGCTGCGTGGACAGTGTTCTAAATGACATGTCCACGTGACACTGAGCTACAAGTCAGCTTGTCCTAATTCTCAGAAGCCACATTAAAGCTAGCACCTGCTTCGCTCCAGGCTCTGATTACCTAGGCTCAGCATTGCTCAGTGTCCCTAACCTGATTTCAGTGTGCTCTGCAGGGGTTTAATCACATTTCTGCAGGACTGGGGGTGGGGAGGGGGGGTGCAGGAGTCCTTGCAGACCTCTGTCTCCAGAGCCTGCAGCCTCTCTGCTGGTGACAGCCTGCATGATCTCCTCCCCCTGCTGCCCACTCTCTTCATGTACATGCCTCGCGGGTACTGCCCTTTCTCTGTGGCCTGATTAAGTGTGGCTCTTTTGAGACGCCAACTGTCATGACAAAAAAAGGGAGACTTTATCACAAAAGATAGTTCATGGAAGGGCAAAGATTCCACTTGCATGGTTCAGGATCTGCCAAATGTACCTTTTGATCTCTGCAGTGGATTTTGAGTTTTGAGGGGTTTACAATCCCTTGAGATGTACTGATGGT